GTGGGAGGAAGAGGAGGTGGAGGTGCCTGCCGCGAGAGTAGGTCAGTGTACCGAGCGCGGGAGCACGTGAATGGGCCCCTCGCGGCGCGAGAAGGGGAATGGGGGTGGGGGACTGCGCATCGGGAGAAAGAAAGTGGGAGGGAGTAGTAGCGTTTCCGAGTCTCGAGTTCCGCGAGGAATGATGCCCCCTTCCTTTCCTCTCCTTGCCGATCTGGCATATATCTATCTATATATATCGTGGCTGCGGTATACCCACTCCGGATCGCCCCTTTCTCCGCGCTTCTATACTTAATGTCGATCCTCACGTATATACACATAAGTATATATAGTATATATATATATATCTTTTTCTCTCTGCGTGTTGTTCTATGCTAATGTTTTTTTCTTCCTCTTTTTTTTCCCCGCTACTCGTTGTATTGTCTTTCTAAGCTCGCGCCCTGCCCCAAACACTCGTTTGGGCCATTTTTTTTCCCCTCTCATCTTGTTGAAGACGTTTCGACGGATGACTCTGCTCCTTCGCCCATCTGCTCCATTTTTAACTGTGTCGCTGCTGATGGCAATCTCTTGCCGAATCCATAGGATACACGCACTTTTTCTCCGAATGTCAATTCAAGCCTTCCGTTTGGCCCGTTTTTAACACCATTGTCTATCATTTCGTGTTATCTGATTTTTCTGTTTTTTTTTTTTCTTTTTTCTTTTTTAATAATACCATTGTAATGCATAATGACAGCGTGAAACGCGTAACTCCGCAGGTACGCGTTAAACGACTGAAATCGGATTAACGAAAATTTTTCGATCCCGAAACCGTACGGTGTATAACCGATACTCCCTCGTTTCCGAAACAATCGGCTAATTTTTGTTTGCCTACATCGCGCGATAATTAATCTTGGGGAACCCGCACGAGTATACCGGCGTACCGGTACACACACACGCATTCGACTGGCGGCCGACCTGGAATCCGAGCTCGTACCTATACTCGTTTGAAAAAAAAAAAAAAAAAAAAAAACAACAACAACCGGCCGCGAGACCTTCGCTCTACCCTCAGGGCTCTCCCCCCCTCTCGTATTCCTATCAGATCAAATCGGCCATTGATTAGGCCCGCGTGGCTATACACCAGAAAACACCGATCGCTCCTCCTTGATTTCCGAGGCTTGCTAGCAACAATTTCTCCGTCTCTCTCTTTGGCCTATCCTCGGCTTCTTTCTCCTGTAACAGGCCGCGCCGAGCCACACTTTCTCCGTTCGCGCGCTCTGCTCGCGGGCACTTTTGGTGCGCGCGCGTGTGTGTGCCAAGCGGGTTTTGTGCGCGAGTTACTTCAAAAAACGGCGTTACTTGTACACGACGACAATCCACGGAACGCGATGGGAGCTGCGGCCGTGGCTGCCGACGTGTTCCGCTGCCCGAGACCATCCGTCTGGGGTTTGTGCCATTTTTCTCCTCTCTCTCTCTCTCTCTTTGGTTTTGTTTGGGAACACAGTGAAAGTGGTTCCGACAATTTTTCGATCCGCTGCTCGGCTGCGCTTTTTTCTTCTTTTTTTTTTTCATTATTTTTTTGTGCCTTGTTTTTCATGAAATCGAGAAAAGTGGGCTCTTGAGCGTGAAATCACCGTTTGCTGACCCAAATATTCTAATCTGAGGCGAGCGCGTGTACATACGGGCGACAGCTTTGTTTTGTACGAGTCCCATCATAAATAATATCGAAAGGAGAGAGAGAGAGAGAGTATTTGCTTATTTTCGTTGTTGGTTGTCCAGTATGTTATTATACCTACCTGTGAAAAACTCTCGCTTCTTTTCGTTCAAATGTAAAACCAGACCTTGATATTGAATCCTTATCGGGCCTCGTTTTCGAAAAACATTAATAACCAACCGGTTCACGTCGAACTCGCATTTTCAAAAGTCGAGTTGTTCCACACCCGCCATATACGTGGAAAGGACCGTTAATTTTGAAACTGCCCGATGTTTGCAAGTTTTTCAATTTAACCGACATACACAGTAATATTACATGACGTAAGTTTGGAAGAAAGAAAATTGAGCCGCGGTTGGAAAAAAAAGATAATGGCGTTAAAAGACTTTCGTTGCCTTTCGAATCGACAAGTGGAATTCTCGACGTTACGCGCTTCTTCGCGCGGCATCGAAGTCCCCGGCCAACCGGGGGGAGCTCGTCATCGGACGTACGTGCATTGTGCTTTGCTAAAAATAAATTTTTGATCATCGACAATTAATGTTACTTACGAATAGCGAAATATTTTCTTTTTTTGCACGAAAAGTATTACATTTTGCGTCCATGGACACGCGCACCTTGCGCCTCAGAGCGCCAAAGGGCCGAAACGTTCATTTCCAACGAGGACAAACCCAAGGGCCTTGTAAATGTATGCGCACCAGTGGACGACAGCTATAACATACACTACTTCGAATCCGACGAACTTCGTATATCCCCAATTCCCTTAATTCTTCGTTCTCGCTAGCACTGCGTTATCTTACGGCCGTTTTCACAGAAGCTCATTAACGCGTATATAGGTACGTACACCGTTGGTATTACTCCGAACTGAAGCGTCGTCGTGCGGCCCATGTACACACGTATGTATAGGTACATAACGCGTGTACATGATCACGTACCGCTACAATTTCCAGCGACAGATAGAGGACCCCCATGCAGCAAAAACCGAGATATATACCAAGTATATAATATGTATACACGTTGCGTTATGTGTACCTGTACTTTGGATATATACTAATTAAATATATCGCGTAACGGCTCGTGTCCTTCCCATTTAGCCATTGTCATTGCGTGCTGATATATAGCGTTGCGACATCCCTACCGATTTTTCCGTGAATTCCATCATTCGGCATTTAGCGGCACAACCAAAAGACGAAAGCCCCCGTCGCGTAACTCCTCGTTGAAATGTCTACCTGGAAGCGGTTTTTATAATTATGCTTCTCCGTTATCGCGAGTGATACACTTGTGTTGGCTGCAAGTTCGACGAAAGTGAGATTAGACCGTAGAATCGCGCTGAATATATATGTGTATGTCCACGTTCGGCTTAACGTAGGTATGTGACGGTCAGGGAGGGCAGCGAATAAAAAAAAAAAAAAAAAAGGCCAAATTTGGCACTCCGACGTATACGTATGTGAACGTATATACAGGAGGAAGAGGAGAAGAAGACCTTTACCCACTGATCTCATTGTCGACTTACTTTGCGCGCTGTCTTCGCGAGCCGTGCAAGCATCGAAAGACGAACGGGTATATACACACATCCCGAGGTAACGGGACTTGTCTCGGCGCGCGAGAGCTGCGTCACGCGCCTCCACCTCCTGTTCCATACACGTGTAGGTATATAGCTTCCCTCTCTTTTATTTTTTCCCCTCTTCTCCTTTGTGCGCGCAAGGATATGGTGCAGAGCAGCTCGAGACGCGCGCAAGAGAAAGAAAGAGGTAGTTACGCGCAAAGTGTTTGAATAAATTTTCGGTGGATTCCTTTTTCTTTCTTTTATTTCTTTTTTTTTTTTTTTTTTTTCATCTCTTTGCGCTCAAGCAATGGCGACGGATACGCGAGAGTTTATTGCGCGTACTTAATTGTGATTGATGCGACGGCCACGCGGAATTTTGATTTTTGGAGCCTATACGGTATGCTCCTTTTTTTTCGTTTCGTCATCCAAACGACCGCGTTTGACAAACCCCTATGGAAAAGATGGACATGAAAAAAAACCCCAAAGAATTGCATTTTTACTTGATCTTCGGCCGAGTAATGATTATCGGTCCCGAAGATGCGGTCAATTGAATTCCCAAGTCCGTCCCGCAGCGCACGAAAAATAACGCGCCGACGTGCAGCCGTAAAGCAATGAGCATCCATATAAAATAGAGCTCGGCGCGTCATATTGTTTAGCGCCCGGCTCATTTCATCCCGCGACCCGCCGATTTTCGCCGCTCGGGTTCATCCGATCTTGGAAAAAACAGTACGCCGATTCTCGCCGCGTTCCTTTTTTTTTTTTTTTTCTTTTCATGCGGTAATTTCGACGGGGCAGGCGTATACTCGGCCGCGGCTGGGCTAACACGCGGCAGCAGGCGGTGTCCCACTAACCCAGTTAACGGCCCTCGAGCCGAGCGGGGTCTTTCTTCTCTCCAGCGGTGTATACACATGCACGAGGAGAAAGAGCCAACGAGACGACCACCACCACAACCACCGCCATTACGACGAGAATTGACGACACGCGGAAGGAGGTTCCTCGGTGGGATGGGGGGGGGGGGTCCTCCTCCTCTAGACTCCCGATAGCGTCTCGGAGACTGTGCTCGGCAACTCCTCCGAATGTCGTACACCATCGCCCGTGCCGGTCTCATTAGAGTATATACCTGATGTAGATTTTCTGAGGGGACAGGGGAGAAGGGACTCATTAGACTACAGGTATACATGGACATGTGGTTATAATATATACATATATACCTACGCGTGTACACGCTCAAGAAATGGGTACGGCTTCGCGTTTCTTCCTCTTCTTCTTCTTCGGCATTCTTTTACTAGCAGTTTTCTTGCGCTGGTCCAACTACAATTCAAGCGGAACTTGTTCATCCATCACGATTTGGATGTATAGGGCTGCTTTTTACCTGCCTTCGTGTACAACTGTTTCCGATTTACGATTATGTGGTTATTGTTCCGCTTAGCTTCATGTATTAGTTAATACGTTGGTACATACCTACATGATTGGGAGAAAAAAAGGTTTCGTCCTTCGACCTTGTATTCGTAAAAGCAAAAAAACAAAAAAAAAGATACAAATTCATAAAATCTCTGATCGTACATTGTGTGTATTTTACAGCATATACTTATATTTTGTTGTAGGAAATTAGTGTAGCAATGGTCAGATGATGACTAAAATCCGCTCTTATTAGCCAAAACCGAGTCCCTGTAAGCACGTATTGATTAGAAAAAGAAAGCGCAACACAAATCCAGCGAAATGGGTGTACCCATAACTGTGCAAAACAATGAAATAAATAAAAATGAAATGAAAATGAAAAAAAAGAGAAATTTGTCTCGTTTGTTCGTAGGTCCTCGCGGCGCCGTTGGCGGTTGCAACAACGGCAGTAGAGTGGATCCCTGGCTGAGCAACTCGTTTTTCTGCCCCTCGGTCCCGAGCCCGGGACACCCAAGGATCGACGAGGGGCAATCGACACTCCCTGCCAACAACGATTTCGCCTTTCCCGACACCAACAACAGCAGCAACAACAATAACCCTCGTGCGCCCAGTCATTACCTCCAACGTCAGGCCCAGCACCACCACCACCACGTAGGCCAAGAACGCGACAGCAACGGCTGCTACGGCAACATAAACGACAGGGGCCCGAACAACAGTACACCCGGCAACACGAGCCTCGGCTACGTCGACACCACCACCACGACGCGCTCCAATGTCACTGTCGGCTCGGATCCGTACGGAGTGATCAACGGTTACAACAACAGCTTGGCCCCGCGCGCCACCTCCTCCTCGCACCAAGGCCGCCAACTGGTCCAGTTGCTCAGCACGCCCGCGAGCTCGTCCACGCGAAACGACCAGAGCTCGTCCGACTTTTTGACCAGCTACATATCGGGCTTCCCGAGCCGGGGCAGCCCCACCGGTGTCAAGCGCCAGCAGGAGGCCATCGACGAGCAACGCGCGACCTCGTCCTCCTCCTCCTCCCCCCCGAACGCACCCCCCAGCTACGCCAACACGTCGCTCCTGAGCTCGCTGCTGTCCAACTCGCGGAACACGGGCGCCGGCGTCAAGATCACCGGCTACTCGAACCGGTTGCCGAGGCCAGACAACCCTCCCATCAGGCCCAACAACAACAACAGAGGCGGGCCGGGCGTCGACGAGCCCCTTGTCATACCTACGAGTCCAGAAGCCACCGGCAACCTGCTGCTGGGACCGGTCAAGCTCGAGTATCCGGAGGCCGCTGGACCTCCGGATCTTCGAGAGGACCACGTCAAGGTCGAGTACATCCTCGGGGACACGGGCTCCGATTTCGACGACATGAAGTACGAGCAGCCTCAACAAGGTGGACCCCACCTGCAGGACGCGAGCGAACCGCCCCACAGCAGCAACAACAACAACAACAATAGCCCCAGCAACAACAACAACAACAACAACAACAACAATAGTAATCAGAGCAGCGGTCTCGGGGCAATAGGCTCGAGTATGTCGGTGGACAGCGTGGTTCTTTCGCCGTGGAACACCCTGGTCAATCACGACATCAAGCAGAGCCCGGACATGGAGGAGTGGCTTTTGATGGGCAACGATTCCGAGGAGTCGTATACCGAGTTGAGGGCCCCGCCGAGCCTCCCGTCCTTCACCAACTGCACGGCCAACGTCGGCTGCATCAACGGCATCAACGGACGCCACTACAACACCATTGCCGTGGCCAGTCGGACTCACACGGGCTCGCCAACGCCCTCCACGAACAACGACAGCAGCCCCAACAACAACACCGCCGCCTCCGCCGCCAATCTTGAGTACTACGAGTCCTCGGTCGTTTCCTCGAGCACTCCCTGCCAGCCCCAGCCGAGTCAAAAGCACCACCAGCAGAGCTTGCACCACCACCATCACAACAACAACAACAACAACCACCACCACCACCACCACCAGCAGCAGCAGCAGCAGCAGCATCAGCACCACCACCACAACCACAACCACAACCAGCACCAGCAGCATCAGTACCAATTTTCGCAGCCGCCGTCGGATGAGTACATTGACCAGTTGGTGAACAACATAATGATGAACTCGGTGATAGCTGACACGACGGTCTCGGGTAGCGGGCCGTCCTCCGAGCAGGAGACGCCCGATTGGGAGGAGGATATACACAAATTCTTGGCGTACCCGCACGGTCCCAAGACCGAGGAGCCGAGTCCCATCGTAGTGCCGAGCGTCGCCGGCCGGCAATACCCGCAACAACAGCTCTACCCGGGCGGTGGTGTTCATCCGCACATCCCGGGAGCGTCCCAGAGCATGTTGGTCGACTGCTCGTCCCCGATACTCCAGAACAGGTTGCAGCCGTCGTCGGGGGCGAGGTGCGGCGAGGCGCCCACCTCGACGAGCCTGTACACACCGGCCGGCAGTCCGCCCGGCTGCGTCTCGACCTCGTGCAGTCCCGACCAGCCGCCCCACTCGTCGTTCGTCGCCCCCTCGAACCCGAGGAAACGGCCCCGGGCCTCGGGCGGCCACCACCCGTCCAAGAAGCACGCGCCCTGCGCCTCGTCCAGTCTCGACATGGGCAACGGGCCCGGCGACGGCTCCGGACCGGCGAGCACGACCTTGGCCTTCGGTGGCGCGGAGGCTGGCCTGATGACCGCCAAGGAGAGGCCCATGCACCGGTGCTCGGTGTGCAGTCGGGGCTTCCTCAACAAGAGCAACATCAAGGTCCACCTGAGGACTCACACTGGCGAGAAGCCGTTCAAGTGCGACGTGTGCAGCAAGTGCTTCCGCCAAAAGGCCCATCTGATCAAACACCAGCAGATACACCGACGGCTCGGTAATGAACAAGCCTAGGCGTATTAGGGCAGGCGCGGGTTTCTTCGCCCACACAAACCCCCCCCCCTTTTTTTTTTTTTTACTTCCACATTATTATCATTACGTTGTTTGTACACCGCGACCCCCTTGCCCTACTACGATCTTACACATATTGTGATGTTTGTAATCGCGCGCGTGACTTTTTTTTTTTTTTTTTTCTTTTTTTTTCTTTTCCTTTTGTTGTTGTTGTTTGTTTGTTTTTTTTCCTGTTTGTTCTTAACAAACGAACGAGCGTTTTGTCATTCGTTTGTTTTTTATAAACTAACAAGCAACTCTTCATCAAGATTGTAGATAGCGAGTTAAGGTCGCCGAGCCTGCCTTATTGCAGCAGAGAGATCTCGTTTCCCGGTGCAGCGAAGCACGTTTTGAAACAAACTAAGTACGACGACAACGACGACAGCAACGACTGTTGTTCATCGTGACGTTGCGTCGACGATGACGACGACGACGACGACGACGATTATTTTCAGCGGGACGCGCCCGCTGCCGTGAGATACTTACACATATACATATATATATATTATATCGCTGAACGGCGCGGCTCATTGTTCGCGAGTCTTACGTTTAGCTGTAAAATGATGATTAACTTATGTTTACATACATATATAAATATAATGTGTGTGTGTGCGTGTGTGCGTGAGAGAGAGGTACCCTCGGTCGCACCGTTATTATTATTATTGCTCTATTTTTATTTAAATCATTTTAATTACGAATTATCATGCTTACAATTTTTATCATGTATTTTTATAACATGACGTATATGTTTTGTGCGCTTTGACTCTTGTTAGTACTGATGTTGCGTCGCAATATGTATACATATACCTTAAACGTGAATGCATGCCGAGTCGCGTGTGAGGTGAAAGTACCTATTATTGTATATCGATACGATTTGCGTCATTATCAAGTTTACCTTTTTTTTTTTTTTTTTCAAACAATTTACAACAACTTAAATGTCGTAATTTAAGAGCAACAACTTCAACGCGTGTTGTCGTGTTGTAAAGTAACTTATTTTTTACCAACTTGACACCTTCGACATGTACCTATTCGTGAAACAGTACGTTCTACCGTTACTCGTCTCCAAAGGGTTTCATAATAAATTAATGCCCATATTATGAACGTATGACGACTTTGCTACCATGAGACAAAGTTTTCGGCATCACTTGGCTCAGATGACATTATTTTTTTGCGATGTGATCAATTATTTTTTTATTGATTTGATAACTGTGATGGCAAAAATAAGTCATTTAAGGTTTGTGCCATAGTAGGGACTACTGGAAAAAAAAAAAAAAAAATTATTATTATTATTCTATTTGATGCTGTCCCTATTATGAAGCAAACTCACAGAATTTTTTTTTTATTATTTATCTACTCGAAAAAATGATGGAGCTTTTTTTAATCAATTTTAATATTACGAAAAATTTACGAATTTTCAATGAATTTTTTTAATGGATTGAAATACTTTGTAAATTCGTCCACTCCCACGTTCCGTGAACAGGGACACGTTTGACGAGTAGGTACTTTTGCCTTAGTGTAGGTAGTTAGATTTTTAAGCGCACAACACAATTCCTGGATTTATTGTGAGTATGTGCTTTTTTTTTCTTTTTTAAATACAAATTTATCATTTTGAATCGAAATTTTTCGTTTATTCGCGTTCACTGGTGACGCCATTCTAGTGGATCTTGTCAGAATAAAAACCTTTGGACAGGTATATCAGTTTGTACGTGTCGCGGCAAAGTAGGTGAACGCGTAATACGTGTGGTACAGTATAGGTACTGTACATTTTTGAAACGTATATAATATAAATATATATATACACGTGTGTGTGTGTGTGATTGTAAAAAAAAGCGATCCTCGATTTTTATGCGACATCAGAGCATGTTGCTATTTGAATATTTTATTTTTTCATGCCTGTTGGTTTACTTTAAAAGTATATTGAAAATTGAATGTAACAGCGTTATTTTTTACTTTTTACCAACTTACGATTGTCTTGTTAAATGAAAGTAGGTGAACCAATATCGTGTTTGCACCAATTACCCTGCCCAGCTCGACAAGATTCAATACAATTTTTCGAATCTTTTTTAACGATATTTGCTTTTAATTTGTGCGTTGGACCAAATGGATCGCATAGTTTAGTCTACTTTTCCGTGACACGTTTTAGTTCTGTCGAGATCCAGCCTATCACTACTAGGTTAACACGACGAATTATTGATAAAATAAAAAAAAAAATGCGTCAGTACTCGTGCACGAGATTAAAAAAAAAAAATTAATAATAAATAAACTTTTTCGACATATAACGGATGATAAATGAATTCGACAGTGATTAGTCACGAAAGATATTGGTCAAACAACACAATGACGATGGCAATGNTTTAGGCGAATTATGGCGCGAAAAATAATTTTCGTATCCTATGAAATGATTGTTTATTCTTTATGGTGTGCGTCTTCGGCGACTTGAATCATATAATTTTGTATAAAACCAGGAAAAATGATTATTTATAAATATGAATGTTTAATTAAAAACTTAATTGTTACCATACATGTGTATCCAACATTATTCTTTTTCATTGTTCCTCTCCTCTTGTATATACTTTCTAATCTTTTTTTGTAATTCCATAAGTAGGTGAGAATGATAATTTCGAAGAAAAAAAAAAAAAATTGATATTTGCCGAATTAAAGTAACGGTACGGAGTTTCGAGAACTAGAAAATAATTTAATAAGATTAATCGAAATGTCCCGCCTCGGAGTACAACGAGCATACCTAACGTATAATTATAAATTGCAAATACAATGTTTTCTTGAGTTTGTTGTTTCACTATCGGTTTTCTCCGATAACATACTTAATTTATCCATTCAATCGATACTTCGTCCCGGCGCTCTTTGGTACGGACAATATCGGTAACGAAGCGTATATTATGTTATTACGGGCCATAAGTGCGTACGTACATGAGCGTAGCTCGGCTACGCCCAAGAGAGAAAGTTTCAGGCTACACAGTGCTCAATTATAATCGAAAAAATATCACTTTACGTATGCATTCGGGGAAAAAAAAGGTCTGTTAAAATGCAAATCGGGGCAGGATAGAGAGAGAGAGAGAGAAAAGTAATTACATTTTTCAGGAATGCCCCTCGAGAGATCATCGTTGCTGGAGCTTATACGGTAGGAAGGTATCCGTAAAGGATGCCGCGTGAGTGTAATAAACCCGTGTGTATACGAAGAGAAAAGCCCGGCGCGTCTTCTTTGCGCCGCGGAACAGACATTGTACACGAGCCATGATATTATTAGCAAAGAAATTTTATACTGCCTCTTTGTATTTTTCCTAAAATTTCTTCTTTTTTTGTCGTACCGAGTTGAACAATAAAGCTTATTTCACGAATAAATATTTTGCTGAACAAAAACATCGCTGTGTCTTCTTCTTACTGAACAGCACATATGACATTAAAAGAGAATAACGGTATTGTCAACAAAATAAATCAGATTCGTTCTATCAACGTCTGTTATTAAAGAGAAAAAATTACAAACCGACCACAACTATTTAGGTCTTTAGAAAAAAAAACTTATGTTATTCCAAGTACAATATGTCACTAATAACTGACTCGGTTAATTATAAAATGTTAAAATTCGTAAAACTTGTAGATAAGGTATACCTATACAGACAAGTATCGATAACGTGTTACCGACAATTTTTTATTTTGGAACTTTTTCATCATTAGTAAATTAGTTATTGATGACAAATTGTACACAAAAAGAAACAATGATCATATTTTTACGGCATCGTCAACAAAACACTTCTAAATTGAGTCTAATTCGAAATTTTCACTTTTTTTAAAACACACCCACCCATTAGACTTTCATTAAAAATTTAATTTGATTAAGGCAAATAAATAAATAAGTCATATATGAATATTTTTTTTTTTAAACTGTAGAAACAACAACATGTTTTGTAAGTCTAAGAAATCTTTTTTTTTTTTTTTCATAGCCCCTCGTTATTTTCGTATTTAATGTACAATTGATAACGACATTAAATTATTTGCAACACATACTTTTTCACGTTCAGCAAAATTCGTAACATATGCACACCGCGGGTCCCCATACAATCAACTTTTAGAGCACAATTAGATTAACATATGTGCACCTACAAATTATGTATATATGTATGTATAAAGCTCGGCTTTGTAGGTAACATACACGCTATACACATGAAATACGAGGTCAGCGCGCGACACGAGCGTTCAATACAATGATTTCAAGTTCAATAGCTGATGCAGGTGCGCGTCAATTGAAAGCCGCAACGGCAGAGAAAGAAAGACGTGCGTGAGTATACATATATGTGCTTTGTTCTGATTAAATTTTTTTTTTTTTTTTTCCCATGGCAAATCATTCGCGAGACCCATTAGGTACATACATACACGTACAATCGTATACGTGGACGCTCGTCGCGATACACATATAACGGAGGAAGAATAATAGGTACACCTTAATAATGGGCGAAGAATAATACAAAATGTGTTCGGCACGCACACGGTGAAACCCTTTGTCAATGTAGCTGCCATAACGGAGATCGCCAATTCTTGTCGGCCCGACTAAATACGGGTTATCCCGCCCAATGGGTTCGACCCGGCTTGAGACGTATCGGGTGATCGGCCCATCGGTTACAGGCCAGTGACCCAGTTTTTGGGCGGCTATGGCTATTGGGCCTCGCGCTCCAACGTTTTAGGAACGAGTATACTATGAGGTACCCGTCATCAGGTATCTCCTTCATTTTCGACGAGATGGCCTGCCTAAACTCTCCAGTTTTATTCCAAGCGAGTTTGGTACGATAAGCGCGTGAGTGATCAGCCGCACGAAAAACGAGTTTCTACCCACAGTATGTATATATATATATATGTATTATATATGCGTAAAATGGCACTTGCAGGGGATAAAAAGTGGTGAAAGAAAAAAAAGGCCATGCTCGTGCAGAAACAAGGGTATTGTTTCGAGTTTGCGCGTAAGTATACACAAAGAGCGTTAAAAGTCGAAACACGCTTGGGTATAGGGTAGAGCGGCTAGAATGTAATGTACGTGGTCGGTGGTTGGCGTTTCGAGCTGGTGCAGGTATATCGGTTGCGCGGCTCTCTCGGCTTCGCGAAGAAAGTCTTTCACCGCGACGGCATATACGGAGGAGGAGGTGCGGGACGAAGCGGACCCGGTATACCACTTCTCTCCTTCCCTCCACCAGACACAAGCCGTATAGGCGCGCGCCGCGATGTGTTCCACTTACGTGCCGCGGCACACTTAAACGTCACAGCACCGAGTCTTTCTCTCTACATCCTATTCGACCAGTCGGATGTTCTTTTCCCTTCCTCTTTTTCTCTCGCGCAAGATGCTGCGCTATTTTTGTGTATTGGCTGAGTTTCCGAAATTACATTTTTCGATCGAGCACCTTGTCGATTTTTCTTTTTTCTTTTTTTTCGCCCTTTTCTTGAACGTTTCGGCAGCTTTTCGCGGATGCAAAATGAGAAATGTTTCAAAATGGCACGGTCAAACCGTAGAAATTTGCTGTTCTCCATTGTTT